AAGCTAGAAATGCTTTAGAAGGGCCATATTTGGCAGAATTTGCCTCCCAACAGATATCAGGATAATTGAAATCTCCCATTACTACTACATTGTGTCTCTTAAATTCTTCCAGTTTGTTTTTCAAAAGTTTCATCCACATCTTCCCCCTGCTTGGGTAGTTAGTAGTAGACTCCAAATACTACATTCCTTTTGTTTTTTGCCCCACTTATATTAATCCAGATGTTCTTGGTGGGACAAGCAAGCTCATCCTCCTGTATTTCTGTGCAAGAATATGTATTTTTAACATATACTACAACTCCATCTCCATTTCTTTTCTTTCTGTTCTTTTTGAACAATTTATGTCCTTCAATTGCCGTATTCCAGTCATGGAAGTGAAGTTTCAGTTATCAACTCATATTTACTCACCTGAACTAAGATTTCCAGTTGTTATTGTTTGTTTCCCATGCTCCTGGCATCGTATATATGTGATTTTTTTTTGCCTGCTTTTCTTCTTACATTTTTATGAAGGTTGTTATTGGGCCCTATTAGAGCTGCTTAGTTTGTCCCTCTTACTGTGTGCAAGCCTTCACCTATCTTTACCTCTGACCTTGTGTCTCCCTTCCACTTCCAATTTAGTTTAAGGCTCTCCTGATGAAGTTCTTCATGTTGTGGTCAAATCCATTCTTCCCAGTCCTTGTGAGATGCAACTCATCACCTGCCAGCAGTCCAATTCCAGGAAACGTGGTCTCAGAATCCAAATCCCTTATGTTGGCATCATCTTTGTAGCAAGTTGTTCACCTGGAATATTTCCTTTCTCTGTCTATTCCTTTTCTGAGTACTGGTAGGATGGACAAGGAGATGATCTGGGCCCCCAAACCCCTTGAGTTTTCTTCCCAGAGCTTCAGAATCCGATGTTATTTCTCTGTATTTCCTCTTGTCTGTGTCATTTATTCCCATGTGGGTAAGAAGAAAGGAATATGCATCCGTGGGTTTTGTCTCCTCTAGGGAGACAGCATACCTGATGGGTCCTTGGATCATCTTGGCATATTTTAATTTCCATCCATGCAGTGGGGAGTCTTATACAACTGCTCTTCTCTTTTTCTTTTTGTAGGGTGTGGGTTCAGTGACTCTGCTTTGCAAAGCTTCAGTCTCTCTCATGTCCTCCCACAGAGTTTCTTGTATGTCTTTCGTTGCATGTTGTCTGTCAGACTCCTCTTCAAATACCTGAAAGCAATTTCACAGTTCCACTGGTGAAGAGTATTGTCTCCTTCTTTTGCTCTAACTGCGACTCTTTTCCATGGTGCTTCCTCCATTTTGCTTATTTTTTTCCTCAGCATTCTCTGCTTTGTCTTGATGTTCTTCCACCTCCAGTGCCGCTCATGGTGACGGCTGCTTGAGAGTTCTGTCTCAGTGCTCTACATTTTCTCTTATAGCCTTAAGCGTGGCAACTTGCTGCTCCAGTTCTCACACTTTTTCTTCCCACACTACTACCAGTTTGCACTTGCTGTTATGTGTCCGCTGTGTTGTACACACAAGCTCTGCACAGACTTTACAGGTTACCACCACTGATGGGGATCAATCACTGTTACCTTTTTTACTTTCTTCCGTTTGTCTGTGAGTGCCCTTTCTTTTGTCTTACCTGCCTTGAAGGATGCTGGGAATCCACTAATATATACCCGTAACTAAACCAGAAAACAAGCTTATTTCTTTTACAATATTGATGAGAAAATGCTTATAGCTATGGATGAGGGTGGGGCAAGACATCATTTGAAAGGAGCCTGTGCTTTATATGGACAAAAGGGTGTGGCTTAGGAACCAAATGATGGGAAAAGAAAATGTTCTTTGTTCTCTGGCCAGGTGAAGCAGGTAGTTTTACCGACAAGCTATCCTTAACATTCAAAATATAAATGCACTTTGCCTCCTGAGTCCAAGGTAAAACTGCTTCAGAGACAACAATAAAGAACATGGCATTCTGAGAAATGCAGCAATTGCCATTAGTTACTACAGTCACCATTACCTGAATGCACAGGTATTTAAGTTACAGCTCTATTTTTGTTTCATTACTATTTTCTCTATAGTTGCTTTCTTGCTTTGATGTCCTTCTGCATTGTCGTAGTTTTTACTGTTATTAAATTGTTTGGGGATTTTTTTTGTTTAACTGGAAAAGCAAAGCCAAATTTGACCTCAAACTTCTCTCTCTCTCTCTCTCTCTGTGTGTGTGTGTGTGTGTGTGTGTGTGTGAGTGAGTGAGAGAGAGAGAGAGAGAGAGAGAGAGAGAGAGAGATTGAGAAAGAGAAGCATACAATTTGGGTAACTGTAGCATCCCTCTGTAAGATGTGTGGGGAGAAAGGGGAACAGTGTGGGGAAATGACTCAATTTCAATACAGTAGCTTCTGAATTCAGGGGAAATAAACGTGTTTGTACCTTTGGAAATCTAAAAGCAAAGAATTAAAATTACTTACATTTTTTTTACTAGAGCTTTTACTTTTTTAATTCATCATATGTCTGTGTTTGATCTAAAACATGGGCCAAAACCTTCTCTGGTGAAGAAAATATAAGTAACAAAAGGGGACAAATATTAACTGTCGAATTAATGTTTAAAAAAACATAAATCAGGGTTGAAATGTTTCTTTGTTGTATATAGCAAATTGAAATGCATGCACAAATAATTACAAAAGAAAAATTAACAGAATGTTTCTTCTGTTCTGTGCTTTCTGAAACCTTCTGAAGGAGCCAGATTGGTTTGCTTTTTATTAAATACCTGATTTCAAGTGATTTTGTCCTATTTTTCTTTAGATGCTTAGCTTCGTTTCTGGAGGTGAATGAAGACTAACTCATTTTCAATGGAGTCTTAAGTTAGTCCTTGCAGTGAGTTGCTGCTGGCCTCGGTAGTACCAGCAGTTCATGATTTCTTAGTCAAAAAGAACCTTTCAGATCAGTTACCTCCTGTTGAGAGCTAATTTTCCAGCAGTCAGGCTTTATCTGGATAAATAATTAGAGAGCAAGATGAAAACTATCATGCTGAGGCTGCCTGTCTGCAATATACTAAATACAGTCGATCCCTGTGCCTTTCCTGTTTCTGCGTTCTCTAAAATCTGTAGAGACAATGGGCAACATAGCCAGTCACTTTACATTTTGTCTTGGAAAGACTAATGACATTTCTCTTTATTCACCAGAAGTAGGCAAACCAACTGCATTTTGCATCTGCAGCAGAGATATGTTGGTCAACTCTAAAGCCTCTTATGCTATTGTTATGAAGAGCTTCAGCGTAAATGTGTTGAAGATGTGTTGCCTGACTTTAGAATAAAATGTTGTTTTTTAAAAATGTAAAAAATTGGTTAAAAAAAACATTTTATCTTCTCTGGATTGTATAAAATGGCTTTCAGGGAAAAAATGCCAACCCCATGTCCTAGAAAGCTAAATTTAGCTGGGAGTCATTTAATGTGACTCTCAAGAGATAGAGATGCTCACGTGCTTCAATTTAATGAGTAGACATGTTATGAAATATCTTCCACTGTAACTGCCCCTCTCTTGTAGGTCCTCAAGCAATCAAGCTGTATCATTTATGCAAATCCCCCAGGAGTATAAAATAGGACATTGATAAGTGTGAGTTCCTTCTATCTGTTGTTGTTGTTAACATGCCATCAAGTTGCCCCCAACCCTTGGCGACCCTATGAATGAGCATTCTCCAAAATGTCCAGTCTTCATCCGCTCTGCTGCAGCCTCTTCTAAGGAGTCAATCCACCTCGTATTTGGTTTTCCTGTTTTCCAGCTGCCTTCCAGCTTTCCCAACATTATTGTCTTTTCCAAAGAATCGTGTCTTCTTCTGATGTGTCTGAAGTACAGCAGTCCAGGGTATCTGTAAGATAGCTTTCTATAGTGATATCAAAGGATGTTTGGATACCTTTGGCTCACTTGATTCCCGAGGGCTGACTTCACAGTATACTCAGGTTAGGTTAGTATCTTTGAGTGTGAATGTACTTTCCTGCACACTTTGAAGTGTCTCTGTCTCCTCCACCACTACCACCACATGTACGTAAAGGAGGGTGTGTCCTTTCCTTAGGAAATCCAGGCACTAACTACCCAAGCATACTTCACGATCTCACTCTTTTATACATCAGCAAAATCAGAGACGGGTTGGAGGCTTTTGTCTCTGAATTGAACTAATACTCTTTGTTTCTGCTACAGAAAAGACTGGGGTTTCCCCTCCCCTTTTTAAAGCAGCATATACATAAAACAAGTGTAGCAGCAAAGGTGTTTCCCTATGCTTTCATATGGGGAAGAAAAAAGGTTCTAGATGAATATAGCAATCCATATAAAAAGAACACAATTGTATTTATTGGAGAGAGGGGAAAAAAACGTAGCCAGCAAGTCTGCCTGTTTGTTTCCTTCATTGCAGCTGTTTTGCTGCCTTGAAAATCAATCCCTGACTGCCAAATTGGTCTTTGGAAGGGTGGGGTGGCAGCAGTTCTCTTCGTATGTAGATGGGATGGCGGTGCTGGAATGTGGCTTTGCTCTGATAGAAGGACCACTGAGATGGTTCCTGTCTTGTGATTTTTAAAAAAAAAAAAACCCTCTGGATTTTCATATTATAGGAAAGGGAAGGGCTTCTTCGTTTCAATATAATGGAGCCATTAACATCTATTAATAATGCAGACAGGGTAAGTAGCTGGAGTTGGAGCTCCCGAGAGGCCTCGTGAAACAGATGTGTACTGTATCTTCCCGGATTTGATGGCTGCTGGGGTCGAGGGGGTCGCTGTGGTTCCTGTTTATTTCCTCTGGCAGTGGTTTTCTAATTTAAGCACCTCTGTCTCCTGGCTACAGTAGCCTGCTGTGATGCAGAGCTTGGGGCGGGCGAGTGGGGGGGCAGGCGGGGGGGGGCTTCAGAAGAGATGGAGGGATGGTGGCGTGTAGCTGTGAAGGCTTTGAGTCTGGTGCCTGGAAGAAGGTACTGGCTTAACCAGGAGTGCTTCTGTGTGTGCAGTTCCTGAGCTGAACTTGAATCTTCGCATTTTCTTTGCACAGGAATTTGCTAAGGAGGAGCAAAATGCAGATCATCTTTTCTTTTGTTACCATTGTTGCAAGGAGGTAAGTGCTTTCTGTCTCCTGTCTGGTGCATGCATTTTGCTAAGAATGCAAGGGGCAGGATAATGCTCCCCTTGCCTGGTAAAGAGCCTGCACTGTATTATAGCATTTGACACATATAGTCTGGTGAAGCCTCAAAATGGAAATTGCCTTGTCTTCCCTACCCACCCTAAGAACCTGCATTCAGCTGGAATCAACTCTTTTTGTTGGTGGCTGTTCCAGAGAGATCGGAATCCATGGCAAGAATTGATTAACCCACCCCCACCCCCAACTGTTTAGGGTTGGTGATTGGTGATGATAGGTTGGCTTTGTTTTTAAAAAAAGGAAAAAAGGAAAAGTTCAAAAAAAAATTCATGGTATCCTTTTTACAACCCACTACATATTTGTGAAAAAATGTTAGTGTGACTAAACAAAAGCTTTTGTTCTGAGATCTAATTTCTAATAAACTATTCACTGCAGCAGTGTTATTTGCATGCTTTGGGGTGCGGGGTGTAATAAACTATGCACTGCAACAGTGTTATTTGCATGATTTGGGGTGCGGGGTGTTAAGCTTGGTGAAAGGCTAACAGCAGCTGTAAACGTTTTTACTTTGGAACAGCTGGGTTTTCAGCATTGTCTTATGCATTTGCTCTATAATGTAGAGGAATGTATTTCCGATAGATCGTCAAGAGACATGTTTTAAAACATTGCTACTGTTTCCATGACTCATTCCATCCCCTTGCAGCAACAGAATAATACAGCCAACTTTAGGACTGTGCAGGGCAATAGCATAACTTCTTTGAAAAGAACAGAGCAATTTCTGTTCCTATGCAGGCTGTAAACACTTGTCTTTTGTTGCAAAGAATGCCACAATGTAAAGCAAGGTCTACTGCTTTCTCTTATTCCTTTTGTGTTAAAGCATGCTTGCTTGCATTTTGCTCTAGGAATGTATAGTAGATGCAAAGCAGAAAGAAATTACAAGACCTAGGTTCCATTCTTTCTTTTAAGGTGATGTCTGAGTTAGTCATACAGAAATATATTTGAATTATGCAGTCTTCAAATATGGCTAATTAGAACCATAAGCTTGCTGTTCAAAAAAGAAACCACTGTATCTGTTTGTTCAGCTCATTCAAACATCTCCTTTCCCTTTAAGCATTGATAAGTGTAAACTGTCTTGATGCTTCTCAGTAAAAATGATCCCTTGTTATCACAACAAACGTATTCTATACTTGGATGTTGTTTTACATTTTTAAGTTGCATTGTTGTTAAGCACCAGAGAGTTCTGACCTCTTAAAGCTGTCTCCGCTTTGTTCAACTGTGCACATTTTGCTAGATTTGCAGTTTGTATCTATAACATTCCAGTAGTGTTGAGTCAAGACTAGTGGTGTAACAGAGGCATGGAAATGTAATATTGCTGAATCTGAGGAAGACGTACAAGACATAGTAGACAGAACTGCCCTGAAGGTGAACTATTTACATATGTATATCCAGCAATAAAATATGCACCTCTTACAAAATGGTCAAGAAGTTCCGTATTATGTGTTTCATTGACACTTAAATTAAGCATGAATTCATAATGCTCGGATGGTATTTTTATTAAGCAGTTTTGTTGTTCTGGACTGAAATTGCAAGAATAACACAGGTTAAAAATTATCTGTTGGGATAAAACTACAATAGAAAATAGAATAATATAGGTTATTTGCCTGTACAGTACTGCATATGGTGAAGTCAATGCTGCCGTTTGTTGATAAGTTCCAAAGCAGGATTAGAAACATTATGATATTTGTTTTTGAGGCAGCCAGCAAATTTGAAACTTTGTTGTGTTCTACAGTTGTGTAAAATTTTGATATTGATATTGTGGATTATTTAAAAATTATGGACCTTAAAGTTACCTCATTGTATGCCTAAAACTTTACTCCTAGAATTATCACATTGTTTCTGAAGAAATGGTCACACTCACAAAGGTTCAATGATACCCTTCAGGGTAGGGAAGAACTGGGTTTTAAGTAACTAATGACTGTTCATTGAAAATCTCTATTTCATTTGATGCAATAAACAAACAAATATTTCACCTGATTCTGAATTCATAGAGTATAATGCCCTAGGATGTGTAGGTGAAGTCTTGACATAATGTAAGAACTATTGAAAGTTCTAATACAATTTTTATTAGGGCTGTATTATAGTAGCATCATCCTTGCAGAGACTTGTGATGGAACTCTGTATGCCTTTGTGATATTTTGCATTCTAAGCATATGCAAAATGGAGTGTGTGTTTGTTCAAAATAAAATCTAACCATTAAAGATAAATTTATAAAGGATAAAGAGTGCTAAAATTAAGTATATAGTACCTTTTGCTAGTTTCCCACCCCCACAAGTGTGTACAGAATTTTGCAGAGCAGAGAAATAACTAAATCTAGAAATGTCATGTTATGCCTGAATGACACACCTATTGCTGAAAACCTATGTTCTATAGGAAACAAAGAAAGATTGCTTTCCTTTGTTAATGCCGCTTATCTTTAACTCATTAGCTCCTGAAGATCTTAAAGTAGTGAGTGGGTTTTTAAAAAATTACATATAGTCTTTGTAGATAGAATATACATGAGTTAGGATTACTAATCTCATAGTAATAAATGCGTTCGAAATGGGGATAAATGCAGCTGAACATGCTCTGTGTCACAGAGCACTCATTACACCAGTAAAGATGGGATTTTATGTTTGTTATTTGCTCTGTGAAAATATGTATGAAAGGAAAAAAAAAGAAAGGGAAATAGAATGTAGTCGAATGTCACCAAGACAGATACTTTAAAATTGGAACCAGTTATTGTTGAGATTGGAGGTAGGAACTGTGTTTAAGAAATAAATGATTGTAGCATTAAAAGAAATTACACTTATATAGCATGTAAATAGGTAAATTATTTTTCAGATACAATATAACTGGGGGGGGTGTTAGGGAGCTAAAAGATAAAGTCCCTGTTTCTTCACATTTGTTTATTTGTTTTAAAATATAGTATATCATGCTTTTAGCAAATTCCTTTGTAAAATTTTAAAAAATTACACTCTGTTGTATGTTATGCCCTTTCTCCTTTTATGCCCTGAAGAAGTAAAAGATTTTTTTATGTTTGATTATTGATTGTGTATCCATAAATACTTTGCATTTTTCAATGTAATATTATCTTAACACACATACCATAAACATGCCATATTCAGCTTTAAAATCATATGAGTGTGCTGTGGTTGTTTTGTCCTTTCCTCCATGTTTGCTTTAAAATGAGCAAAACTGAATTTGCCTCTTGAATACCAAGACCCTAAGAAAAGATATTGATTCACTGGCACTAGTGGATCTCCCCTATTATCTAAGAAGAATATAACAGTTTTTGTGTTATCATCACCTATATTCTAAGCTTCATCACAGAAAAATGTTGATTATCTTTCACCTGGAATAATAGCACATGCTTAACATTGTCCTTTTTGCTGTACCACAACAAATCTACAGGCATTTCACAAAAGTGGTATCTAACATATCCCGTATTTGGTTAGACCGTGCTATTTCATATTCTGTATGGAACCTTCAAAAATAGCTTCATTATGCGAATTATTTGGTACTGCCATTGTTATTTCAATTCTTGCTCTATCTAGAGATTAAAAAACTGTTATGTTGAAAAAGGATGTTAATTTGGATAATTCTAACAAGAACCCTATCCTGTCTAACAGTAAATTTTGCCCCATCCTAGTATGTAATATTAAATTTTTACATAGAAGGCAACAGCAAGAGATCTAATAAACTGTGTACTCATTTTGCACATCTCTGACTTTATTAGCAGAATTTCTGTTTCCCAAAAAGTCATTAATTTAGGGAGAATTCACACAGTCATGTTCATCCTTCAATAACTGCAAGTGATGAGTAGTAAATAACATAGGTGAAACGACAACTATGCATTAGAACACTTACACTGTTTCAGGTGATCAGTGGAAGCAGTTCACAAGACCAGCTGAAAAGGTGTGCAATGGAAAGGACCTCCCCCTTCCAAGTTCCCCTCACTATTTTCTAGATAATTTGAAAAATTCATCAGGCTAATTTTTCAAGGATAAAATATCAGTATCGCTAGGGAATGCTGTTGGGGAAAGCTACAAAGAGCCATCTTGGCTTCAGGGCAAGCAGGATGTTTTTTCCATCCCCTCTTACCTTGTGCAGGGCACTGATGAAAAAGGAAGAGGAGAATGTGAGGTCCCTCAGAAGAAAAAGTTTACACACACACACCAAAAAAGCACATGCAAAGATCTGAGGGGTGTGTTGCCATTTATTTTCCTAATACTTATGACTAGAGTCACCTCTAGGTTTTGATGTCCTCTTAATGTTGATGCTTGGAGTAAAGTCCCAATTGTTCCACCCTGGTTACAGTTCTCCAGTTATTGGGAGTTGAGAGAACCATTCACCACCATCTCATACCCTACAGTAATCTACAGATCTTGGTAGTCAAGGGAAGCAGGTTTAAACCTCCTTGTCATTGTACAGGGTGATGTGGGGGAGGGGGCAGAAGAAAACCCTTCACATACATACACACATAAAGATATGTGTAACCATAGTGGTGACTTGATTTTGTGAAACAGTTGTTCACAATACAAATGCCATAGACAGACCTTTGACATTCTCATTGTCCTACTGCAAATGGAGGTACCCAGTACCTTGTATAGTATATGAATTCCATCCCCATTTATGAACAAACCTTGGGAAAGTCAACTTTTTTGAACTGCACTACCAGGCTTGCTGATAGGTTCTGGGAACTGTGATTCAAAAATGCGACTTTTTAAAGTTCTTGTTTACGAAGCACTAGATAGTGATTCATGAAGAAACCAACCAACCAACCTGAGGAGATTTGAGTCTGAGTACATAGAATGTACAGGATAATAAAGGAAGAGTGGGGGGAAACAAAGGACTGAAGGTGAGCAAACACTGTTCCATTAATATAGGGATAAGGACTATAGTACTGTACAGTTCTTACCCCTAACCTTGATTGTTTTGTCCTT